AGTACGCCACTTAACGCTTAGGACACTTTGATAAATAGATTTTCAAGGTCCATGAATTACATAACTGCGGCATGAATTGTTGTGGTTTGGTGAATAAATAATTGCTTACATTTGTATATATGTATGTGAGTGTATTTGTTTTGGTTCTTTCTTTTGCAGTGGTGTACAGTGCCGTGACACGCTGAACGGGCCACAATGCGATGCTTGTCCACTTGGCTATGACGGCGATGGGCGTTCTTGCACAATACGCACAGGTGAGTCCAGTAGAAAGTTTACTTAAATAATATAGTTTAAATATTTGTACTTTTTAAATACAGTTACTACTTAAATTTTTATGTAAGTCTTGAAAAAAGAAATCCATTATTTTCCTAACAGTTGACTTTAGTAATCTGTATATCGCGTTGTATAAGCGATCGGGTTACGCTATATGGCGTTAGAAAGCAGACATTTTGTACTAAAAAAAATGTCGGACAGTTTTGTAGTTGCTCAATGCAATATTGTTTGCGCATACGTCAAAGATGAATACCAGCAATGAGAAAATCCGACATATTGTACAGGTTTTGTTCGATAAAGTTGAAAACGCAAGCCTCAGGAGAGGCTCAGGATGTGACTAGTGTTTTTGGTCCAGTTACTTAAAGGATAATCACGCATTTTTGGTTTCGTAGTTTCCCTACCCGTAACTTTGCTGAAGGTCAATTATCGAAAATTCCGATAAAATAATGGAAATTGTTGAGACATGTAAGACAGTTTCGATTGCCCAGTAGCTGTTGCTTTAGAACACAAAACCGTTTTGAATCATTTAAATACGGCTGGCTACAAAATAAAGATCGATGTATGGGCACCACATGAGTTAATGCAAAAAACATTAATGGACCGAATTTCCAACTGCGAATAGCTGCTGAATCGCAACAAAAATGATCTATTCCTGAACGAATGGTTAATGCCTATGTAAACTGGGTCACATACGATAACATCAAGCGAAAACGGTCGTGTTCGAATTGTGGTGAGCCGGCGGCAGTGATTGCCAAGCCAGGATTGACGAGCAAGAAGTTTTTGCTAGGCCGAAAATCATCTACTATAAACTGCTGCCTCTACTGCCAAACTCCTAATTCGGATTTATACTGTCAACAATCTGACGAAAGTCATGGCCGGAAGCGGCCAGCTTTAGCTAATAGGAGAGGATTTGTGATCGATGAGGACAACGCCAAAGCACACACATTTATAGTGACTCTCGCGAGACGTTCCTGGCGTTTGGTAGAGAGATTATTATGTAGAGATTATTGTGTATCTTATAGTCCGGACCTGAAACCAAGTCATGTAGTAATGAATACTGTCTATGGTGAATGATTTTGCTGGTGAAAATTCGCCTCAAGTGAAGCTAGTGGAAATTGACTGCCAGTTTTTTTGCTAATAAGGACGTGGGTTTCTATAAGAGTGACATTATAAAATTATTAAATGGTGCATAGTTGCTTAAATCGTTCTAGCAATGCTAAACATAATCTTCAACTTAATGCAAAAACTTAATGGATTTCTTTTTACTACACATATGTACATTTAATAATTAAATTATTAATATTTTTTTAATACTTAATTTTTTTTCAGCCAACATCTTAGTGCCCTCTCATAATGTTCAGCACTATCAACGCCAATACACCGCACGCAAATACTCCGTTATAAGCTCGTGAAGCGGCCTATAGTTAAAGCCGAAGTCGACACGAAACAACGCAAACGTATGCATGGTAGCATATGGTATATGCCTTAATTTTAGTCAATTGTGTTTAATAATTGCAATATAACTTGCCTTAACGTAAAATATTTATATTTTTGTTCAAGTATTATCGAATCCAAAAAACGAAAAATTTTAAATACACAAATATTATTTACACATAATTTTCTTTTATCCATAATGCTGCAAAATGTCTAACCAATTAATGAAATTGTATAACTGTAAAAAGAAGTTTGAATAAAGTAGAGTTTAGAAAGTATAATGAAATTTTAAATAGAACGTTTTACTTTTTCTCCTGATAACTTGAGAAGCAGTGTTGAATCTTACTATCTGCTATTTAATAGAAAGAAAAGCGAATTTAACTAAATGCAATAAGAACGCTAACTTGTTAGGAGACTGAACTAGTGTCAAATTAAAAATAAAAAATTTCATATTTCGAAAGGTTATACCTTTAAAAATAACACATTAAAGTTTTAATCGAAATCTTAAATAGTTTTTGAGTTATAGTCTTCCTTCAGATAGCACTCCATACTATGTTAGTTAGATATAATATTTTATTTTGCATCTAATAAACAAAAATAGTATTGTAAAGTGTGGCCGCTCATTTTAATCAGCTTCATCAGTATATGTTTTGTTTTCGAAACAGCATTTTTTGAATTTGCTTGAGTTATAATTCGGAAACAGTAGATTCAAGAACCATCAAAATTTTTGGGTCAGTTTTATAATCAGATCAAAAGCTAAATTTTGAAAGGCCCAAAACGACCAAAATTTTGGGAAAAATTTAACATAATTCAACGCCACCATTTTTTCAATTTTAGAGTTTTTGTAAGCTTTCCACACTTCTAAATTCTAGTAGAGAATTTGAATGTTTAGCTTTCATCCACGGAGAAGGCCGGAATCACCACAGTAGCAGATGGTATTGTTTTAGCGCTATCGGAGATCGCGTCTAACTCGAAAAGTATTTAATTTTTTCGTCAGACGTCAGAAATTATCGATACTATGCTATGACCATAAAATTAAATTGCACGCCATTTTTTTTTAGCAATGATAATATATTAGTAGATTGTGTATTCGTACAGTTGCGAACTTTATTCTATTCTTAAAATTGTCGACCAAGTAAAACCTTCGGAATTATACTTAACAGCAATTCGTAGTAGACTTACCATCTGATCAAATTTGACTCAGACTGACAAAAAAACCACAATTTCACGTATATTAACACAAATATTTAATATTTCTTATTGGCCATTTGATCCTAATTGAGGAAAACGATGAGCATCAACTTGATTATTAAAAGACGTTTACGTGTTTTTTTTTGCTTTCGGCTCATTTTTGGAACGCCATTCGAGGGATTGCTAGACGTTTCGACATGATTATTATGTATGTGGGGTACTCATTTACGTTGTCAAGCACCTCTTTCGCGTCCTCTACTCGATGTCGTTTTTGCGAATAATTCATGTCTATTAGTATGAGTCTAACATTGGCACGCTTCATACACAAAACATTAACCAAAACGTGCTGAGTCGATCCATAAGAGATGCTGAGATTTTCTACTACAGGGTGCAATTCAAAAGTTTCAGGACTTAAAAAACGAATATTATTATTTATTTTTTTTTTTAAATGTATTGGTCGCCTTTTTGCACGTTCAAGAAGGTTATCGAATGACTTTTTTAGGTCATTTGTCGGTATAGCGTTGAGAATGGCGGTCGTCGCCTTTTGGATGGCATCAACGTCAGCATAGCGGTTTCCTTTCATGGCCAAATGTAGTTTTCCGAACAAATAAAAATCGCAGGGTGCCATATCAGGCGAATAGGGTGAATGGTTGATGATATGAATGCGATTTTTGGTCAAAAATTTGGTCTTGAATGTTGAATTCTGAGGTCTTTTTCGTGTTGATTCAAAGTGTGCGGGACAAATCCAGCACAAACCTTTCTGAGGCCCAAATTTTCTGTCAAAATACGATAAATCGACGCTGCGGATATTGATAATTCCGATTCCATATATTTAAGCGATGATTTCGGCTCTTTTTTAATGAATTCACGCACAATTTCCGTGTTTTTTTCGTTCACAACATCTTTTGGCCGGCCCGAACGTTCGTCGTCTTCCAAGTCCTCCCGTCCCTCTTGAAAACGTTTAAACCACTCGTGAATACGGCTACGGGATAGACAATCATCGCCATAAACTTGTTTCATCATTTGATGAGTTTTGGTAAAAGTTTTACCAAGTTTAAAACAAAACTTAATGTTGGCTCTTTGTTCGATGCTCATTTTCCGATCGACATTACAAATGTAATGTCACATACACAATTGAGGGATAACAATTTCAGACAGATGGCGCCACTAGAAGCCGCGTTGTTTAAAAAGTCCTCGAACTTTTGAATTGTACCTTGTATTTCTATGATGTCAACACGACAATTCTCAAATACTGTTTATTTAACTTTTTCGATGGTATCGTCATTGACAGAGTTGGATGGACGTCTCGTATGAAGCAAATTTTCGCTGACTTCACGACCTTCACTGAATTCTTTGTGTCCTTTAAATACTTGTCTTCGTGATAAAGTAGACTCCCCAAAACATTTTTAATGATTCCGTAGCCGTGATTTCTTTGAAAACATAAAATTTCAAGCAAACTCGTTGCTCAATTTTTTATCTATAGAAAAATCGCCACACAAACTTTTTGCGTCGTAAACAAACAGCTGTCAAACACACACTAATTGACATATGAAGATAAAACTTCACATAAAAAATGTTGAACCATACTCTAAAAAATGTTATATGGGCCAGTCCGAGTTAAATTTAATCAGTTGATATTTTCATTTTCATATTCACAAAAAAACTGCATTTTTTATACCCAAAGTGCAAATAAAACAACATTCTTTATAACTAATTTATTTATGATTTTATTGTTATTGATGATACTATGCACTATCTACGCAACTAATGCAAATTTTAATAGATAAGAGTATAATAATTTTTTTTTTGTAATTTTTCCACTTATCGGACCGAAAATAGCACTTTATGCGCTCCAAAATATCAAATATTGAATTTGTAATTAAATTTCTTATATCTTTTTAGATGTATGGATACATTTTAATAATTTTGGTATATTTTAAGCGCAGATGCTGTCATATGCATGCGCGTTATTGTCATAAATCGATCTTATGCTATTAAGTATTTACAAGTTCTTAATACGAACACTCATGAAATTAGTTTGCGAAATGATAACAATTGTGAATTACACATAATATTTGAATATTTAATTAATTTTTTTTTTGTTTTTTCTGTAATTGTAGTTGTAAATCTGTATTCATTGGCAAAATTTGTTTCAAATACAGTGTTTTAGCTTTGAAACCGATGCTATTTTCTTACTTTGTAACGGTTAAATTTGAACTGCACGATTGAAAATTGTATTTATTTACGTATATATTTTAATACTTAGCATAAATTTTGCATCTAATTGGTTTACTATGTATTCAATTATTTCTCTTTTTATAATTTATAATTTTTTTTTTTTTTATAATTTATAATTATTTTTTATAATTTATTCCTTTTTGATATTTGTGTCCGCTTAAAATTGCTTAAAAATATGTATATTTTTGAAAACAGCGCATATTTTTGGCGAGTTATATTTGTTTTTTCTTTATGTTTTGTTTTTCATTTTTGTAAATACTTGAACTGTTTTTTACTGCTCTGATACTTACAGTCACTTATTCATACAAAGTAAATGCTGATACTGTGAAGTTAGTCAGATAGAATAAACTGTTATGTTTGCGCTATTACAATTATTTTTCCATTAAACTACGGTGTTAATAAGAAATTTCAGAAATTCCATCATTTGAGTATAATAAACTGGCGTTCTATTATTTTTTTTTTTGTGTTTTTTTTAACAATTACTCGACTTTCGTCAATATGTAACAGTGTCCAACAACTAAGCAAACATATAACTGTACTACTTTGCATTATTTAATAATTAAATTAATTTATTTTCAATACTTTCATTAATTCATGTTAATTAAATTTATTAATTAATATTTAAATTAATTAAATTTATTAATTAATATTTGTCTTAAAAATTGTTTTTTTCGAAAAAAATATTTCTGTAAATTTTTAAATAATTTTTAGAAACAAGTTTTGAACTGTCTTTTATTTACAATTTTCATTTATTTAAAATAACCAATTTTTCATAAACTTTGTTGTTTTACTTTGTTCTTACCTCAATTTTTGGCACATTCACAAGTACATTTGTTTTATGAATTTGTTTATGCAAAAAATCGTATTATTTTTTTTAATACATATTTATAAATAAATTCGATATACTTGTACTTTGGAAGCACAAATGTTTAGAATTTGTATTGACACAGGCAAAAAACGTTGATTGGCCACGTGGCGTTGACGCCGCTGCTTTGCATATACACGCTGCACGCACACACACGTATCCACACACAGCGTTGCTTCAAGGCGCCTTACATTATGCAACAAATGTTCATCTAACGGTGTGTGTCGTGCGCGGGTTTTGGCTTCGGTTTTATACGGGGAGGGGTAGGCAAGGTTCGTCTTCATTCTTTCGTTTCATGCCCATTCGCACCAAGTTCGAGGAGCTCATGGGGTTCAGCGTTCAACTGCAAGTATTTTTTTTTTAAATTTTTTTATTGTAAAATATTATAATTATTATCTTAGATTACCCGATCGACGCTTTGCAAATCATTTCTCGATAGATGATTGACCAATATGGTGCCCAAGGCATCGCACATGACATTGATGGTGGTACGGAAGCGATCCCTATGTAAAGTTAATAAAATAAAGAAAAGGGAGAAGTCGACAGTTTCAGGACCTTAAATACTTTCAATTCCAAAAGGCTGCAGTTAGAAACTTAACTAACTTATCAAAGATATCCTCTCTGCTACTTAGTAAACTATTGTTAAGTGGCTGAGTGCTTTTACAAAACCTTTTACCTCTAGTTTATAGGTTAGAACCTCGACATCTTTTCTTCACATTTCAAATTTTTAGCAAATACTTAAATATTTCCACATAAATTTAGGTTACTGGTTAGAAACAGGTTTTGATAAAGCAAACCACAAGTTCCGATTGCTTCGGATGCCTAAACTAGACAGACTTAAAATCAATTGATATAATCTGCTTGCGTTTCCATCCCAGAGATACTTTATATAAATTCACTGGATTATGTTTTCACCTTAACTACAATATAATTTCACCTGACCATACCCTAACTGGTCCATTTAAACTGTGCGTGGAAACGGAATCGATGATGGTGATGTTTGACCTCCATAAGTCAATTAGTGTGTGTTTGGTAGTTGTTTATTTACGACGCCAAAAGTTTGTTGGACGATTTTTACTATGAAAAAAATTTAACAACGAGTTTTCCTGAAATTTTGTATTAATTTTGTGTAATGAGCCATGGCTTGAAAATCGTCATGTTAGCATCAAAGAGACAGCAGAGATTCCCACCATATCCTATGAGACGAATTAACACGTTTTGGTTAATGTTTTGGGTATGAATTGTGTCCATGCTAGACTTATACCAAGAGACCTGAATCTTTTTAAAAACCCAGGTCAAGATGTTTGTCAACGTAGGACCCTACCATAATTCGCTAGAGGTACTAAAAGCCATTCCCGCCAAGGCTTATAATAGGTAGGTGTATGAAAAATTGGATTAAGCTGAAGCATGCTTGTATTGGCACAGGAGCCTATGTTGAAGGTTGAAGGCGATAATAAAAATGTATATTAAAATATGAGAACATGTAGTTTTTTTTCAGCACGGAAAGTAAAAAAAGTTACAGCTTCAGAACCCGAATTTTAAAATCGAATTTGGAAGCTTTCACATTGACCAATGTCCGGTAGTGAGTATTCTTTAAAAATAACTTGCTATGAGAAAGCAACTAATCTAATACTTTGTGCAATACAAAAAGAGACCAATATGCAGTCTACGTTTACAAAGTTGTCTGCGGCCATAACACATCCTAAATTAAGCACGCGAACTATTAGCCCGACCTAAAAAAAAACTGTATAAACACTTATAAACCGATAACTTACAGCAACCAATCGACAGCTATAATCAGCGAGACATCCTTCGGTTCCAGTCCCACAGTATCCAAAACCATAACCATAGTTACAAGACCAGCTTGTGGTATACCAGCAGCACCTATCGACGCTGCCGTAGCCGTAATACTAACCGCAACAATATTACCAAACGAATAGCTCATCTCACGATATTGGGCAATGAAAAGCGCAGCCACGGCCTCATACAATGCTGTACCATCCATATTAATTGTAGCGCCGACAGGGATAACAAAACGAGTAACACGCGGATCAATGCCAATGCCATCAAGACATTTAATGGTCAACGGCATGGTGGCCGAACTGGAGCCCGTACCAAAAGCAGTGGCTAAGACTTGACTCAATTTGGCAATGTAGCGGTAAGGTAGTGTGCCCGTGCCCAAGAAGAATATCACAGCAATGGTACCTATAAACGGTTAATTTATTATAAATGAATATTAACGGCATACAATTTTAACTCACCGAAGCCGTGCAGGAATAAACCCAACATTACCGTTATAAAGTACCAACCCAAAGATTGTATAGTGGCTGCTATCGAGTCCATTTCAATAATTTTGGCAGCTATAAGGAAACCCACACCGAGCGGTGAAATCCTGTTATGACAAAGAGAAAATGAGATACATTCCTATTGACAATGGGAATTTGCTTCTTTTTACCAAATGACCCAGGACGTTATAGTCATCATAGCTTCACTTAGTGAGGTGAAAAAGTCTTGTAGCAATTTACCCTTCTCACGCATGCGTCCGATTGTTGTGCCCAAAATTACACTAAACATAACCAAGCCAAGTACGTTGGAGCCCTCACGTTGGGCCGATTTAAAGTCCCACTCTTCCATGGGTACTATAAACAGATGTATGATTGTGAGCTTCATACATATTTGTGATAACTGATCACTTACCTGGTGGACTTATACTCGTATTTTCAAAGATTTCCGTGCGATACTGGAAAAAAAAGATATGGGTTTAAATATTATGGGGTCTAAATGAGTATTAATTTGAGAGAATTCCAACTCCCACGTAATGCGCGGTTATATATGTTTAATTATTAAAATCCAGTTTAAAATTTTGGTCACCTATTATTACACACAGGAAACTATGTGGTGATAAGGAGAGTATGGTATCGGCCCGACAGTATTGGAAACGATCCGAGTTCCTGTCTTTTTGATTAGTTAATCTGATACATTTTTAGTCGTGACGTTGAAGTGGTAAGTATGGTAAATAATGTTAAGGCTTTGCATGTATGATAACGCAGAAGTCATAATAATGTATCTAATGAACAATTCTTATGCTGCACAAAGAGTTCACATATAAAATTTGTCTCATGCGCGTCGTCGATCCACCTCTTTTAATACGATGTAATCGAAAATGTTAAAGAAACAGTGCTTGAAAATCAGAGAATCTCGACATCTCTAATGGATCGACTCAAAACGTAGACTCGTACCGAAAGGTCTGAATCTTTTGCAGAAACGACGTGGAGTAGAGTTGCAATGTGTGATAATATAGCTACATTCTACAAAAACCTCAATTCATAGATTTTTCACCACGATAATCTGCCGTCTAGTATGATTGCGACTGGCTTTTTTGGCCAAACACGAAACAAGAATCATCGCTCGACTACCGTATTCGCCAGCTCTGCCTCGCTGTAACTTTTTTCTGTTTTCGAAATTGAAATATATTTTTTGGGGAGGCACTGCAGGCAAGTGTATGGAAAATTGGATTGAGCTTTAGCAATAGTGTATTGGCTCAGGAGCCTATTTTCAAGGCGTTAATAATTTTTTTGTCAATGCGGGTAAACTTTGATCAGTCCATGAAAATCTGAAAAAATATTGGTGGAATAAAAAAATGGTAATGTGCTTTGAAAAATATGTCTATGAATTATAGACTTGTGTAATGTTAGGTGCTGAAGCGATAAAATAATTGGCTTCTCTAATTCGACACACACTAACGTCAGTGTTACGGCGATTGTGTAAATGGCGAGAATAAAAGAATCTCAGATATATTTAGTAAAATTGTTTTGTCTAAAAGAGTGAGCAGTTTTCAAATCAAAATTAAATTAACTTATCAATTCGCAGTATAAATAGAAGGCTGACTAGCAGATCACTTTTTCGCATCTGCTATCATTGCTTACACTACTAAGAGCATAGCATATCCGTTTCGGAAATAGTAATTGAGATGAGATGCCTATAAAGCACAAACCAATTACATTACTGTAGTCAGAGCTGCTCATGCGCTAGTTGGACATCATGCTGATTAAGTAATTCAATTTGTACTCGTAATACGATATGAATAGATGAGTAGCGCAACATGCAGTCTACTAAGCACTAACAACTCATAGGGGGAAATATGTATATGGGATCACAATACGTATACATGATGAGATCTAATAAGAATATGTTAGGGTGAGTAGAACTTTTTTGTACACACGAGTATATATGTTATTTATGCACAATGACGATTTTTTGCATTTTATGGACAGAAATAGTAAAATGTAGTAAAGCTTTGCATAAAAAATAAATATCAAATAAGGTAAAATTCGAAATAATGGCGATTCGGAGTAAAAACTCGTTAGATGAAAATAATCACAAAATATCCATTTCTCTTTCTTTTTTTTATACCCTGAACTGTGTATATTATGTTTGCCATGAAGTTTGTAACACCCAGTCGGAAACATCGAACACTCTATTAAGTATTTATGCACATATATGTATATAAATGATCACCGTGCCGAGCCGACTGCTATAAGAAATGTACCAGTGTAGGATGTTATAATATGGGTGCAGCCGAAGTTAACGTTTTTAGTGCTCGTAAACAAATATCGAAAATTTCAAAACTATTTAGATTTAACTCCACAAATTTGGTTCTATCAAAAAATATGCATCTACTCAATGAATTAATTTCAGAACTAAGTATCTGATAGAAGTCGGTCCCCTGATTAGAAGTATGTAGTACTTGAAAATTGTTTGTGCTCATTATAGAATAAAGTTTAAGTACCGTTTACAATTACAAAATATTAAAGTTATCTCAGCATTTCAACAATGAAGGCGATCGCTAGACAATACAAAGTTTTAGGCAATATAGTACAGCACTCGAGATTATACTCAAACTAGGTATGTACTTGTATTATTCCATATACATATTTGTAAATTTTTTCATAATTCTTGCTAAGCAATTCCGATTTTAGTTACATTTGTTATTTGCGCGTGTTTGGTATTTTATTTTTCAAATTTCAAAATTCGTCCATCAAGTATCAACTTCAGTTAAATTAAGCATTCGGTCGTAAATTGGATAATTTGTAAATAAATTGATAGCAGTGCAGATTTGCCATTCGCATGTGCAATATACTGTTATTTCTATACCACATGCTCGTTTTATTTGTAGGAACATGTGAAAATATGTAGCTTATATGGCAGAAATACATACCAGTTACATAGATATGATTGTGGCACATACTTTTATAGCGTAGTGTGTAATATGAGAGAGTATTGCTAATTAACAGTTTCCTGATTACAATGAATTTTTGGTACACCCATAACTGCTCGATCCTACCATATTATTAACAAAAATAATCTTTGTTACATACCTGAAACATTGTCGATTGAATAATATTATCCGTAAACATATTTCTGAAAAAAATAAGATTATTTTATATTACATTCTTAACCTTTCTATCACCTCTTACCTCACTAAGTCCATAAGCGTATCGGGCGTTAAGACTTTCGATGCTTTATCCACAGATTCAGTGCGCACTTCCACAATTTTTGCACCCTGTCCAGGACGTATTGTTGTTACCAGACAAATGCCCAAAACTACGGCAGAGATAGTTGTGAGAAAATAATAAGCGTTGGCGCTGTAAAAAACCGTGTTTATAGTATATAAAAATACACACATGGATTTCATATATATGTTTCGTCCATACTCACCGTATAGCAATCTTCCCCGACATGCTTAGATCGAGTCCACCAATGGCACTTGTTATGGATGAAACCAATAATGGCACAATTAAACATTTCAGCATGCTATAAAATATGGTAAAATATTTGTAATATATTACTTGTATTCTCACTATAATACTAATGATTACTGTAAGATCTAAGAGGTTTCAGCAAAACCTATTACAATTTCTTTAAATACCAATATTTTGGTTCCTACAGTCTTGAGTTTCAGTGCGTGATTTGTAGGGAGAAAATATGGCGTCAAATTGGGATCGCAAAAGAGACGCTTGACAACGTTGTTGGGACAATACATTCATCAAACTCATCATTACTGGTGACGAGACATGGTTTTATGAATTTAACGTCGAAACTTTCAAAACAAATCTGTCGAATTGCGCTCTAAAATGAGCCGAAAGCAAAAAAACTAAAATTTACAGAAGGCACTGAAGGCCATCCCAGCCAAGACTTATGACAAGCGTATAGAAAATTGGATTAAACGTTGGCATGTTTAAATTGGTTCAAAAGGAGCCTATTTTGAAGGCGATAATAAAGATTTATATTAAGATACGTGAAAATGTAGCTGCTTTTTGTCAGTCCGGGTAAACTTTCCAAAAAAATTCCGGGATCCCTATTCTGCTATAGCATAAAAAATTCTAGTTTTGTATATTATTCATGTATTTAGATCGAATTTTGAAACTACTGTTGGGAGTAATAATCGATCTCAAGATAGAACCGAAACATGGTATTTGGTTTTGATGATCTTCGAGATAAAATTTATGGGAATGTACCTATATTTCTTGGAACCATTTTCCTTCAATATACTGATCACCTGGACATGCTTAGATCATTAGGACCACCTAAAATATTTTATTAGTTTTTATGCGATCGGGATACACTTATTAACAGCCGGAAAATATATGTAGATTCATGGCACGCTTTTAAGTGACGGAACTTCAACTGTGGACTTGTTAAAACATATGATGAAATTAGTTGACTGCGGATATATGTATAATAATAAACTAGTTGTTAGTTAGGAATACCACTAAGTATTTGGGATGATTTTAGAAATGTTATCTGCAGAACCCAATACACTAGGATTCTCAACTATGTATTTTTAACTGATAGTCTAAATATTAGACCTTTGTAAAAGAACTGGATTAAAACTAAGAGCTTGATCGAATAAAAAGAGATCTCAGTTATTGGGTAGCGAAATTGCCAGGGTTTCCATCATGTATATTTATGTCTAAAGATTGGATTTTAGGATTGTGAGATCTTTTGAACCTATATACGTTTAATATTGATTTAATGCCAGATAACTCCACTACAGTTGGTCTCAGTTGTGGAAATTAGCTGACTTCTCTTCCTAATACAAAATTTCTATAGAATATTTTTATACTAAAATCACACTTACCGCAAGAAAAGTTCACCGGGGAAGGATATGTACATAATCTCACGCTTCGTCCACTCGCCTGTGCTGTTCTTAATGATAAAACCCACCAAACCGCCAAGGAACACACCAGTCACTGTGAGCATAGTAAGCGAGTTCTCTCGCATGAATGCTTTGAACTTCGAATCCTCCTTTGGTCGCGTCATTTTGTATGGATTTTTCGGCTTATTTGTGACTTTGACGACTAAATGGTATTACAAGGAAGAGAAATTTGGCAGAACCGCGTTGCTTTTTCGACTAGAAGCTGCTTATCAGCTGTGCGCAACGATCAAAAGCACACACACATGTACGCGCACACATGCACACAAACACAAAATGTTATGAACACCTTTGATGTGCGATTGTAAGCTATGGGTAAAAAATTCATAAAGAAAAATGTATTTAATTTTTTTTTTATATATAATTTTGTTTTTGTTTCATTCTACATATATAAAAGTCTCGAAAAATATTTCATTAACATGTACTCGTAAATTGCACTTATTATCCTTAAGGCTCTGCTTCAAGCACTATATTAACACACTCACACATAAAACATATAGGAACATTGGTGTGCCGTTACACACAATTTTTCGTTTACTTCACCGAATGACTGACCGAACGCGACTATAATCACACGCAGTAAATTTTCCACTTATGCAAAGTGGTCGTTTGTCAGCGGCTCGTTGGCACTTTGGCACGTAAGATCGTTTGCTGTAGCTTTGCTGAGTGGATATTAATGATTCGCCGTTGTTTTTTGTCGTCAATTAACCGTTCTAAACATTCGTGTGATCGCATACACCCAACACACACAGCTTTTGCACCCTTGATACACCAATACGAATGTAGAATTGATATACTCTATTCGCTATACAGTCGTATGGCTTGAGCGCGCCGCCAACTTAACAACGTATGCGATTGCGTTGCGAATGTGTGTTAATCGGTTAAATGGGAACACGAGCAGGTGTCAGCGATCGCGTTTTTGATCATCGGAAGTATCACGATATACACTTAGACATACATATATACATTCAAATTACAGTGAATTGCATATTTCGACATTTTTAGTTGAGTACGTCCATTGTGTTTCGCGAAAAAGCGGTCGGAATTATTGTGTGAAAAGTAACCCCCAGCAGCTTTTTTAAAACCGGATGAAGATGACGACTTAAATAGGAATGCGAGAAGACATATATGTACATAGAATATAATAAAAATATGCCAGGGGTAGGCATATAAGTATATCCACAAAAGCATTATATCGAAAAAAAGTTGTTAACAATATTAAAAGTATACCATATACGCTCATCTGTATAAGAATTGTCAGCTTAATGTTATAGAATGAAAAAATTACATTTTATTTCGCGAGAGAGGTAGTATTTTATAGAGTCTTGAATAAAACACTAAATATTCTTTATAACTACATAGAAAAGTTAAGAAGCTATAAGGTAATTGCCTAATATTCTTTGACTCTCACTGGTCCATATATACTACAGATGCAAACTAAATCGATAATAAATTTTTTCTTAGATTGGTATAACCATCTTTTACGTTCATGTGAAGTTGAATCGCCACATATCAATTAGTGTGTATTTGGCAACTGTTTCTTTACAACACGAAAAGTTTATCTGTCGATTTTTACTATAAAAAAAAAGTTAACAACGAGTTTGCTTCAAATATTGTGTTTTCAATAGAATCATAATGGTAAAATCTTCAGCAGTGTTTTTGGGAGTCTACTTTATCACAGACAAAAGTATTTGAGTGGCACGAAGCATTCAGTGAAGGTTGTTAAGTCATCAAAAACTTGCCTCAAGCGAGTCGTCAATCAACCTCTAATAATGACGATAGCATCGAAAATGTAAAAAAAAAAGCTTGAAAATCCTCGTGTTGGTATCATGGAGATAGAAGAAAATCTAAACTTCTCATATGCATGGGCTCAGCAAACTTTAAGTAATGTTTTGAGTATGAAACGTGTCAATGTTAGACGCGTACGAAAAAACCTGAATGATTGCAAAAACGATGTCAAGTAGAGGTCGCTAAAGCGATGCTAGAAAACGTAACTGAGGACCCTGCATTAACTAAACGCTGAATGCCATCCCAGCAGAGGCTTATAACAAGTGTATAGAAAATTGGTTCAAAAGGATCATATTTTAAAGGCAATAAAAAAATACAAAAATTTAGGTTTTTTTGTCAGTTCGGGTCATACTTAATCTCATGGTAAATTGACAATATTATCGAGTTTAATTTTCTTCGTTACATCATAAAGACAACTTATTAACTTATGTGAGGGTTGCCTTTTATATTTCGGAATTGGAGAACAATAACAAATATAAATCATTGAAAATCGCTTTATTGTCTTTAAAAATATTCTAAATTAAAGTCTACACACTTTTGCATGCGTTTGAACCAATTATCAAAGCACTTTTGCCACTCTGATTGAGGTATCTCCAAAACATACATTCTTAACGCATCAACCGCCCTTTTCAGGTGTCGGAAAACGTTGATCTCTTAGTTTATTTTTTTCGTACGGGAATAAAAGGAAGTCATTTGGTGCCAAGTCAGGACTCGGTAGATGATTCATCAAATCGATACTTTGAGTACTCAAAAACGCAGTTGTTTCAGTCGATGTGAGAGTGATTCGTCTTGGACGATTGGTTTTCCTGATTTCTTGAAAGACAACTGGCAAACAAATGATTGTGTACGACTTAGAATTATCATTCTGCGTTGTTCTAGAGGTATAGTTTCGACATGTCCAGTTTACTCAAAAAAAAAAAAAAAACAGGCAACCATTTGCTTGGAAGTGCTTCTTACGCAGACAACTTTTGTTGGATTCGGCTTATCTGGAAGCACATACAATTGACTGCTGTTTACTTTTGGGCTCATACGCGTAAATTCAGGACTCATCCCTGCCACGATTTCATAGGCGTGTTTTGAATGATCGCTATCGTATTTTTTAACATTTCTTCCGACCAATCGACACGTGCCTTATTTTGAGCGATTGGTATGTGTTATCCTACGTTAAGAAATGTCAAATGTTCAATAAATATTGAATGTATTATAGTTCCACTAATGCCTATAGTTGTCTCTATCTCACGATAGGTCACATGAGTATTTTGCTATATTGGTTTGCGCACAGCATCAATAGTTTCCGAAACAACAATTGATTTTAGAATCTTCCCAAAATTTATCTTGGAGTGATCTATGATCTCGATTGAATATAGATCCTCAAAAATGCCCTTTTGCTAAGTGCAGCCTCATAAAAATACTGTGAAGAGAACTAATCGCTCTATATTGATGTAATTGAGAAGTAGTGCCTTTAAACCTCAGTTTCAACAGAGAAGCAATTCCTACTATCCTCTAATTCATAATTTTCGTCAGTATCGAAAAGAGAAAGAAGCCCGACTTTTTTTTGTTTGATGCTTACTCTTATGAAAGTAAAAAGAATGGTAGAAACAACTACTAATTTTCGGACGTATAACATAGATTCAAAATGTAGCATAGAGAGATCAAACAGCTTTTATTAATACACTACAAAAAAAAAGAAAAAAAATAAACACGACCCTGAACACTTAAGTGAATTTTAATTTTAGAAGCACACGAGACGCACAAAATTGCATACACAACATAAAAAGATGCATAAACTATTTTTATTCTAACACATAACCCATAGAGCTGTGTGTAGCCTATTTGCACGCATTAGAATAAGGGGCTTGTCTTCGCAAGTGTTTGCTGCGCAACAATAAGTTAACAGGTTATGAACTTTGTTTTTTAGCGATAAGATTTTCACATCGAGTGTGTACTTCGACAGTAAAAAATCAATATAATGAGGGTACTAAATATTATATACGATTTTTGAAATATGTATATAAACATACATATGAAGGTAAAAGCTTTCTGAGCAGCACAAAGCTGCCTATTTGCAACTACATATATATTTTTTATAATTTATTAAAATTTTTACATATTTTTTAATCAAAAATTTTTTAACCAGCAGACACAAATTGGTAAACACTAGAATAATTAACATAAGTACTTGCGGTTATTTTAATATTTAGGTGGGCCTAACGCCAGTTGACCTCATTGCCTATATTTGTTAGCAGCTCCAGTGCTAACGGAATTAAAAACCACATGGGCTACAAGTATAACCATACTATACCAACCTTCCAGCCAGTCATTACTCCGAAGTAAAGGGAAGTTTAAAATCACTTTCATTCAACATATCACTTGTCATAATTCTGAAACTTTTAAATAGCTGAAAACTCTCTCTCTCTCTCTTTCAGCTTTACTATTTTATAATGTTTTTTTATACTCTGATCTCCTGTTCAATAAATTAAATTTGCCGAGAAGTTTGTTTTGTAGATATCGATCTGAAATTTTGCAACCGTCGATATTGGACCACTATGGTATATAGCTGCCATACAAACTGACCGAAAATAATCAAGTTCTTGTATGGAAAACTCTTTTATTTGACAAGAGATTTTTGTGAAATTTGCACATATTATTGTTCAAAGCAACTCTTTCATCTCCGAACATATAGTTTAGATCGGACCAGTTATAGCAAATAGCTGCCATACAAAGTGACCGATAAAAAGCAAGTATTTTTATACCTTTTTATGCTATAAATAGTGCAGCTATGAAGGTTCTAAATATAATACTTACAAACTTTATCTGTCTAAATTGATCCCTTTAAATATCTCTATTTCACTTGAAAAAAGTATTTGTTCAATGAAAAAATTAAACTAAAACAATCTTGAAGTTCCTACAGGGACACTTAAAAATATCACATTTTTAATTCATATGCAAATTTTCCTACAGGGTCCACCAGAGATCATATGGCATTGTACTACGCAATGATGCATAAATTTTTTAATAAGTACTAATTGGAAAGTGTGTAAATTAATATTCACACCATTAAAATATTTGTTTGCATGAACACAAATCTATTGTTCGCAGTAGTATATAATCAATAGGAAAGTGACGATTGCAGTACATATGTACATACATGTAGCATCAAGCGCTTTGCTAACTGGTTAATTGACACTAATGAAGCTAAACATTTTCTAATGCGTTGGCGTTAAAAAATATTGCATTACCTATTTGTCATTGTTGTTGCTGTCTTTCCAATGAATACATAAAAGCATTAAGATAACAAATAGAAATAGGCAAATGCATTTAAATTGTTAAATGTGAGAAAATGCAGTCGAAACTTGATTATTAGGGAGTTCGTCATGAGAAAAGCTTTAAAGAAAAATTTCTGAAAATAAATAAGAGTTTTTTTTTGTATATGAAAAATTGTAAGGTGAAATTAAATTATTAAAAATATATAAAATATACCTAATTAAAAAAATTTGTTTTTTATAACTGAGGAAAAAGTAAAAAAGATATTTAATGTAATTATTTTTTTAAAAACTAAAAATAAAAATTTAAAAAACTTTATATTTGAAAAATAAATTTTATTTATTATTATTTTTTTTTAGTAGTTAAGGAAAAATGGAAGGAAGGGAAAAAATTTATGAAAACAAAAAAATATTTTTAAAACAAGAAGTTACTATTATTTTTGCAAATATAATTTCCGAAATATTTTGATGATGATCTTAAACTTTTAAATGCAATAGCTCAAGAAAAACAAATATTTAAAATTGTATTAGTTGTATTTAAGGAGTGCATACTGTAGTTGCATTACTGATGTTTATTAATTGCTATTTAAGGGTGCTAATTGATTTTCCGCTATGTACAGTTTCGCTTATATATGTATAAACATATATGTATATAATATTAACTCGTATGTATACATGGGATCTGTGCCACATTATTAAAGATACATACCCTGCCACGAAATTTGTTACATCCAGAAAGAATCGTCGGAGACCCTATGAAGTATATACAATTGATCAGTATGATGATCCGTAGCATCAGTATGTCCGATGATCAGTATGATTTAGATATGTCCCCCTCAGTTTTCAGAACCGCCGATATCAGACCACTATAGCATATAGCTGCCATATCAACTGAACAATCAAAAAGAAGACCTTGTATGAAACACTTTTTATTTGACAAGATATCTTCATGAAATTTGGCATGTATTACTATCCACGGCAAACAGTACAATCTTCAAAAAAATTAGATCTGAGCAGCTTAGTATATAGCTGTCATACAAACTGTTCGATCAAAATCCAGTCCTTGTATGGAAAACTTTTTTTATTTCACAACATATCTTCACAAAATTTGGCATAGACTATTTTCCGTGGTAACCATACAAACTCGGAAACTGACCAATCAGAATCAGGATAAGGATAACATAAGGATATTGTAAAACATGCCCCTGTGAAGGGTATTACAGCTTCGTGTTTTCTTTATTTTTATTTAAATTACTTGCTTTTATTAAGTGCGCATGGTCGTCTACTTATTTACATTATGCAGTTTTTGCGCCGACGATAAATAGCTTAATTGAAATGTATTTATTTGGCGTTGAACTTGAGACCTACGCTATTACAACACCCACTTAAGCTACCACACAACTAACCCTACCATATCGAGTCAACTACTCAATAATCAACAACAATGATCTGTAGTATGATTAACTCGTTGAATGTGAATATTAACACAACAACAGTTTACATATTAAGAATATATACATATATATAAATATACAAGAGAAATTTTAATATTTGCATACAAACATTCTCTGTTTCAAGTCGCAGTTGGAAGATAATTAAAATAGTTGTCGAGCATTAGTGGAAATAAGTCAATTGTTCGACATTTATCAAAATGGTTGTATACGTTTATTGAAAAACTACTTTGAACCGGTTTAATTATTATGCGTTTTGTTGTAATTGCTGTAAAATAATTAAAATGAGAATCTTACAATATTAGAAATGATGCTTTTATGATCGGCGAAATGTCGCCAAGGCATTAAAAAGCATAACTATTCTAGAAGTAATAATGATAATAACACAGCGCTTTCACAGATATTTAGCTCAATTTCGTATTATATGTTATATTTACAGCTTGACATGTACTCATTAATGCAAGGTCGCATTCAAACAGCTGACAATTTCTAATGTCAAACTCTTTCTTAAATATTTACATATTACTTTTATAAAATATTTACATAGAGGTTAGATATTAATCTAAAGTAAATTTATTTCTACATCTGGCGCCCAATATTATATATATATATATATATGTACATATGTATGCATGTAATAATTGTCTGTGAAATTGCCATTGACACCAAGTGCGGGAATTAATAAAATGTAAACAATGCAACCCATTGACTTTTGCAGCATTTGGTCGTCTGGCATGTCATATAATCAATTAAATGATATACTTGTAGTCTACATTATTTCCATGTAATTGAAGAAGCTTTGTTAATTTAAGTAGATACAAAATTTGTATGCGGAAATTAAAAGTGCAATTAACGGTAAAATTCAACACATCGCGCTTTTAATTAAAGGAGAAACAGGAAATTTGGTTTAAAACTATTATGGAAATTATCTTGTTACATTTAAATTTCAGAAATGAACGCTATAAATTTTCATATTCATTAATTCATAATTAATTCATGCCAGGTTTCGTCAAATAATGAAATTTGAATTTTCACGCATTCATTTTTTTTTTAAGTGTTGCAACCTCAGAAATTTTTTTACAGGCTTTGACATTCAAAAGTTTAGGAATTAAAAAATTAAAGAAAATACTTCATAAATAATATTTTCATCTAATTACACGATATTCCTGATTAAATCAATAATAACTTCAAAAAAAAATGTATTAA